TTCTGTGGAGAAACTCCTGAAGCCCCCCAGCAGTTCCACTCTGCCCCGTGGTGGATCACCATGTGTCAGACTTGACTGACTGGATTATACTAGCATCAAAAACATAGTATCTTATAGTAACTTCTGTAGGCTTTATCTCTGTTAGTTGTGTGCTCATCACTGAAAGTACTAAGTCAAATGGGAAACAAAGATGAAAGAGTAAATCTGATACGTATTACATTAATATAACTAATATAAGCAGGACTCCATGTGGTCTCATGACCATTGCCCTAAATTTAAGTGATCTATTTTAATCCAAAGAGGGACCCAAAAGACCTCCTTTGCTATACAGAAGTCTCCGTGAAGTCTAAGACATTGAACCCTATGCGCATCCTCCTGATGACAGCCTCAGGGAAGAAGGGCGCATGTTTAAAATTGCACAAAACATCTTCGTTCTTTCCCCAGCTCATCACAATCCTCTCCATGCAAACGGCTCCCCAAGTTTTCCCATTTCTTATTTCAAAGGTTCCCCTATCTCTTTTCTTTCTCACGATAAAGCATTGACTCATCCAAAATCATTTATGGAACTCATGGATGGGTTACAGAGTGACTGTCCATCTCCCCCTCCACTACTGTCTCAAAAACCAAACCAAACTCATCACGCCATTGAGTCGGTCCCAACTCCCATGTCTTTGAGGACAGTGCAACTGCCCCAGTGGGTTTCAGAGGCTGTAAATCTGTACAGGCAGGAAGTCTCATCTTTCTCCCTCAGAACAGCTGGTGGTTTTGAACAACTCATCTTGAATTTAGCAACCCAACTCATAACCCACTATACCACCAGGGTCTCTTACTGTCTCAGTTCTTCGTAATGTAGACCGATCTCGACTTGCAAATTTCCAAAGGGAAGAAACTAGCAAGGATATATATTCCTTGAAGAAGAACTGCGCATGTCCACACCACACAACCCCCTCCCCTAATTCAAATAAAACACTTATTTAAAAAAAGAACTGTGGGAAGGAAAGGGGAATGTTGAAAATACTTATCATTTATTTCTCTTAAATCCTTGCTCATTTCACTTTAGATTTTCCAATAATAAAGGGAACACGAATAGCACTCACTGCCGTCAAGGTGCTTCTGACACACGGCGACCCTGTTGGATAGAGTAGGACTGATCCTGCAGGACCCCAGGACTGACTCTACGGGCGTGGAGAGCCTCATCGTTCTGCAGCAGAGCGGGTGGAGGGTTGGCAGGACTGACCTTGCCGTTCTGACCAAATAGTAATGAAACACCCAGTACATATCCATCACCCTCCAGGCTAGAGCTAGAGCAATGAACGACAACCAAGGCATTACATGCTCAACGGTAAAAGGGCTTGGAGGGAAAGTACCACTGAGTGAGGGACATAGTGCTGATGGGTCAAGAAAGCCCTCACGGATGACAGTGAATCGCCCTGCAAATATCTGGGGGACTAGCATATCCATATCCAGAGGGTAAAACTATAGAAGTGTTGAGGTGGAAGCCTACGTGAGGAGTTCAATGACAAACAGCATGGCTATCCAACTAGGGGCATATGTGGGGTGAGCTTAAGGAGTTCAGGAGGTATGGATTTAGGCAAGATCAAACTAGGCCTTGCACTTCACAGACTACAAGAGGGCCCTGAACTCTGTGGAAACCGGCAACTGGGTTTCGCTTGTGTTCAGGTTAGCTGGCCAGCTGTTTGAAGAATCCAGGGAAAGGTGGGTGTGCCTTGAGCCAGAGTAATCAAATGGAGATGATGCAGCTTGGTTAGGACTTGATATATTTGGGAGTAAAATATGTCAGGAGATAGGATTCAAGGAAGATTAAGTAAAGCTTCTGGCCTGAGCATAAGGAACAGTCATTGCTATGCATTCAGGGAGACTGTGCTATAGTCTTTTGTTTGTAAAGTTGATTTTGACTTTTTTATCTTTAATGTTTTTCTCCCCCTTTCTCCTGAAAGTTTTTATATTTACTTGAACTGTGTTCGGTGTCTAGTGGGGGAAGGGCAAGGGCTGGTTAATACTAGTTTCATCCATCATTTTTATGCATTTCTATTCTGATGAGATGGTTGACCCGTGAAAAGAAGGTATACTGTTGCTCCAAAGAGTGGCAAGGTACTTCCTGCCCAGTCATTTGGTCTGTTTTCACGGTTCAGATTTCATGAGAAGAGGGTTTTGTCTATAACGTAAGCACCTGCCATGTACAATGACCAACTTCTATCATGGTGTCCTTCTACCACCTTCAGCCAACTCAAGATGCTGGTGAGTTAACTGGGGGGGGGGGGCACAGCATGGGTCATCTTGAGTTCGGCAAGACCTCACAAGTGGCGTGGTGGGGATATGTCAGAGGCCACACTTAAACCTGGGTGAAGGGAACCGATCACAATGATCGACATTTAAACACCCACCCCCAGCAACAAACAACAGAAACATGGGTGAAGGGAGGCAGCAGACGGTATAAGAAATGAACACAATAATAATTATTATTATTTATAGCTTATCAAGGGTCTATGAATGGGGGAAGAAAAAATTGTGGACCTGATACCAAGGGCTCAAGTAGAAAGAAAATGTTTTGAAAAGAATGATGGCAACATCTATACAAATGTGGTAGACACAATGGATGGATGGATGGTTATAAGTCCCCATAAAATGGTTATTTTTTTAAAAACTGGATGAAGAGCTTTAAAATATTTTCTGGAACCAGCATAAAATAGCTCCCTATTTTTTGAGAAAGGTCAGAGAGAGGAAAGGAAATTACGTTTGGATCTTTCGTAATGAATTAAGGTACATGGAGGCTTGGGTGTGCATTAGGTGAAGATCAGATTATTACCTTGCTATGAAAATCATAAGTACTTGAAAAAGCCCATCTCTCCAACCTGGCCGTAAAGCAGCTTCAGCTTGAGTGACACTCCCCCTGCTACCCCCCAGGTACCCTCCATGAGTTTGTGAGGGATGGACATGGGTGATGGTCAGGGGCTGCTCACAGCCTCCAGAGCAGCAGATGCCCACCATCTCCTGGCTGCCTCACAGGCTCCCATGTGGAACCTTGCTCTGCCATCTTTCCACCTTCCTGTGCCACCGGCCCTGGGGACTGGCCTGAGGGCAGGTAAAGTGGAGCCACTGGACCTAGCAGAGATGGCAGATGTGGCAGAGCAGGCTCTTTGGAAGATGAGATTTCTTTCCCCCTTCCCCTTTCCGGCTCCGGCAGTCTTTCCATGGCCTTCTGCCTGCCTGTTTTATGGTGTGTGTCCCCCTACCACCCCGCCCCGCTGCTCCCCAGGTAGAATGAACCACTAGAGACCCACAGCTTTGCTCCCTCCTCTACCCTCATTAAAGTGCAAAGTAGATGCATATTCAGCGTCATCAAAGCAGACTGTCATGAGATAGTTGATAGGGAAAGGGAGCTGGATTCTTGAACCATACCTCCCAAGAATTACAAGGCAGTTCCTACTGATCCACTCACTGTTTCTCACATTTCAAATTTCAGAAGAAAGGAGTTGACCTCCACACTAAGATTAAAAAAAACTTTCTCCGCGTCATTATGAAAGTTTTACAAACAGCAAACCCACTAAAGATGCATCTTCTAAAATGTTCTCAGGGATAAAATAGCCCAATAGGATGGGCAGGAAGTCATACAGTACTATCTTTAGTTAAAAACTCAAAAAGAATTTCCAAAACCACAGCACTGGAAAGGCCACTCCATGCAGGGAGTTGGGGGTGGGAACCGTTTCCTGCACATTTATCCCCAAGTCTCTCTAATCCTCATCTTCTTCCTTATCCAGTAGCAGTTGACAGTTGCTTTTGAAGGAATGAGATCTTCCAGTGACCTTGAAAACGGATTCTCTCCAGTCACTCTACACTGCTGGATGATGGAATGAGGAAGGACAGGAGCTACCTCACGAAAAAGGAATTTCCACTGATGGAGAGAAAGACTGCTTCCCTTTTGCTACATTTCTTTTCTCTTAAAAAACCAAAGAGCAGGAATGTCTTATTCAGAGACCAATGCTAACTCACTTGAGTCCTGAACTTTATTCAAGGACTGTAGAAACCTTGCAAAAGAATCTAAGCTTGTGCATGGGAGATGGAGGGGGCCGGAATGTAGGGGCTGTTCCCGGTACAGAGCAGCTAGGGCTGTGTAGCTGCAGAAGGCACAAGGCTTGCTTGCCTTAGCTTCCCTGCTGCAGCACAATGACCAACCCACCCCTCCCAGGCTGACACCACAAGGAAGAAAATCTTCGTGGCACCGATGACACCTAGCTTCGAAGGGTCAGTTCATCTTGTTTAGCAGTAAATACATTCCAGGGAGGCTTAGGGCCCAGCAGAAACAACAGCTACACAAAATGAACCTATTCCAATTTTTTAAAATGCCTTAGCAGAAGTTTCCTCTCAACATGATTAAATTTCTACCACTCAGAATTTCAGCCCTACTTCAAAGCCAAGTTCTCATTAATACCCTCTTTGTAGATCATTCTAGAAATCACAGCGACTTACTATTAGTAATGTCTAATAAATACACTCAGGCCTGTCCCTCAGAGATATCTTTTAGGGAAAAACAAGTCATACCCACTCCCTTAAACTTCTTTGCCAAAACATTTTTTCTTTTTTTTTGGAAAGGAAAAACAGAGCGGTGCCCCACGGAGTAGCACTAGAAAAGGATTAGTGGTGAACATGGAATTTCTTTGCTTTGTTCACACCAGAAAGGAAAGGAAAAAATAAAAACCTCCCCTTTCTTTCTCCTCACTCCTCCTCTCAGTAACTAGCTACTTTCAGACTTCACTAATGTTAATAAGAACAAGACAGAAAAACAGAACTTAGTTACCTCAGAAGCAGCCTCCTGAGAGGTGCCCCGATGTTGGAAAGGCAAGTAAGCCTCTCCGTAGCTTTCCCACAAAATCAAGCCCTGCCACTGGCATGCTCTCAGCACCCGGGCTTATGCAGTGGTCCCCCACACTGCACAAACAGAACCAAACAGGAACACACCACCAGAAAATGAAACTACTGACCTTTATCAGTGGACATGATGTCACATATGCTGATACTCAGTCTAAGCTGGCTTGATAAGGAAATATTAGGCTTTACTCTTTTAAAGTTCATGTGGCAAAATCTCCCACCTGCTATAAAGGCTCGGGGAGGCTAGAGATGAAAGAGGGCCAGCCAGGCACTCGGTCTGGTGCAATGTCACTTCATTGCATTCTCAGACAACCTCCTGCATAATATGCCACACCTCCCCAGGGGAAGAGCTGCTGCCTATTTTCACCAGACTGTGTTTGTGTGTGTGTGCGCGCGCGCGCAGGATGGAGAGACTTCTATTTATTGCAGCAAAATAAACACCAGAGACTTATGGAACCTTCATCTGCACCAGAAATACATTTGGGAATAGTATGGCTCAAGAATTGACTGATGCCTGAACTATTAGTAATGCTCTAAAAACACCAACATGAAAACTGCCTGTTCCATTTTCACTTGGTCCAGGCTTTGGACCAGAGCGGTGATAGATTCGGTTTCACAGGCTTAAAATGCTAAAACCTCATTTAAATTATCTTAGAAATGCTATTCCCCAATTATCACCTATCTCTAACACAGCTTATGGATTCGTGTCAATAAATGGTACAGGCATTTCCTAAGAAAACCAAATTTCGCATGTTATTTTAGAACAATGTTTTAACTGGCAAGTTTTTTTTTAATTTATCTTTCCAAGTTTAGATCAATGTTCTTAAATGTTCTTGTAATCTTGAGATTTAGAAAATTAAGAATGACAAAATGGAAATCTTCATGAAACCACAGTGTAGTCAGCGGCTGTGGGCCTCCCCTCGTCTTTACCCGGTGTCCCAGGGACAGTGGTTCTCAGTCTCAGCCAACAGAGTTACCTGACAGGCTCCTTCAGGTAGATAGATAGCTGGGTCCCTTCTCCAGAGCTGGAGGCACTGGGTCCATGATGGAGCCACAGGTTGGCATTTTTAACAGGCTCCCAGGTGATGACTGCTGGCACAACACTCCACATTGAGAACCACTTGGTCAGAGCTGACGTCCTGATTCACTGACCGATGGGTGGCCCAGTCACATACCTGCTAGGAATGACTACTGCTCAAGGTCACGGGAGCAGAAAGCCCAGGATTAGGCACGAAGACTGATTCTTTCACTTCAATACATTCACCTGGAACTCTTGTGGCAATTTCTAACCAGCTCAACAGGAAATTGAAATTATCAGGAGGTTGGGCTTATCCAGTTTAATAAAAAGAAATGTGCATAGAATTCCAGAATAAGTTTCAAAATTAATCTGAATTGGAAATTAGCACACGGAGAATAGGAGTCAAAGAAAGAGAAGAGGCCTGAATCATCTTTTAATTTCTCCCTCAATTCAAACCATGTGTGTTTCAATTTCACCTTGGCTGGGAAGTGGCTTAGATTTCATTCCGAGCCCATTTGGCTTGGGCACATTTTGGTTAATTTAAAAAACAGAATGTTTCCCTGTTGCAAAAATTCTGTTTTTTTCTAACCTTTTGATGGCAATATTTAAATTGCAGTCTGGTTTTCAAACAAACACCTTTCCTTTTTAATTTTTTTATAGCTAACATTTGTTCTGTGCCAGGTGCTACGTGAAACTCTTTCCATGTGGTCTGTGTCTCTAAATTTTCACAACTTTTCTATCAGATAAGACTTTACAGCCATTTTTGAGAAGAGAAACCTGGGCCACGACGTTAAGAACCCTCTCCAGTCAAGCTATTCAGAGACAGCCTTCATGAAATGGCTTTCACAGTGAGAAGGCAAACAAACTCACTCTCAGTCTTCCTAGAGGAGAGCCAGAATAACAAAACATGGCTTGCAGCTAGGAAATGTTCATTAAAAGTAAAAAATATATATATAATAATAACGATGCTTACCTCTCAGCTGGCCACAAGTGGATAACCTGCAATTATATGCAGCCTTACCACAAGTTTAAAGACAAACTCTAAGCTACTAGTAGCAGCCACGTACACTGGTCGGTATATGCAAACACTTAGTGTGTGATCCAGCAATCCAGCCTTTAGGTACTTGCCCATGAAATAAACACACCCATATGAATGTTTACTGGGGGTTTATTCATAACCATCCTAACCTGGAAACAAACCCATTCCCCTTTATCTGGCACGCCAACTGTGGCATTGTCCATATAAGGGCATCCTACTTAGCAATGAAAATGAACTAAAGACACACGCACATAGCTGGAAAGAAGCCAGGCTTGAAAGATTGCCGTATATACTTGAGTATAAGCCAACCCAAATACCAGCCGAGGCAGCTAATTTTGCCACAAAAACTGCATTAAAAATGTGCTGAAAAACTCGGCAGACACACAAGTATATGTGGTAAATATGTGCGACTTCAAATGACATCCTGGAAAAGGCAAACACAAGGGACATAAAAGAAAAACAAGATTATTGTGGAGAGGGGCTGGTTACCAAACAGCAAGGCAGAATTATGCACAGATTTGAATCGGTTCATTCTGGTTCAACTCCCTGTTGAGAATTTCTCCATCCGCCTGATATTCTGCATCAGAATGCACATGTTACTCAGATTGCTAGGAGAGTTTTAAGTGAACATAAAAACTCACTGCCGTCCAGTCAACAGTGACCCTGTGGGACAGGGCAGAACTGCCCTGTGGGTTTCCAAAGCTGTCACTTTTTTTTTTTTTTAATGTTTGTGGTAAGTAGCTCCCATTTGGGGTTTTTTGTTTGTTTTATTTTATTTTTAAAACATTTTACTGGGGGCTCAAGCTGTAACTTTACAGGAGTAAAAAGCTCCTGGCAGCTGGCAGTTTCAAACTGCTAACCTTGTGGATGGAAGCCCAACACATAACCACAACATCACCAGGGCTCCTCATGTAAACATAAGACATGTAAATGTATATGTAAGAATCACCTGGGAAATTTGTTAAACTATAGATTAATCTCTCAAACGTATAGAATTGTACACAAAAAAGGGTCAATTCTATGTAAAGCAGCCTTAAAAAAAAAAAAAAGTTGAAGGACAAATGAGAAGCCCAAACAGCGGGTTGGTCTTGGATAGTGTAAACTCAAATGCTTTTTGGTGCATTCATTGCCCCTCATTTCCAGTAAAGCAGAAATAACCTCTGCTTGGTTCTCTGTGACTTTTCTGTGATGAAAAAAAGCCACGGCACACTCAAAAGTAAGCAAGCGACCCCTCCACACACACACAAAACCATTTTGCTCACTTTGAAGTTTATGACAGCACACTGAGAAGAACTTTTCAAATAAACACGTCTAACTAAGGCATATGATCTATTGCGTTCATGGTTATCAGCCCTGGAAAGTTCCAAAAACCCGCCTCCAAAGAACGTACAATTACTCATCAAACACCCGGGAACACTGATGACTTAATAGGCTGCCCCCAGTCCACAGCCCATTCCTCCTCTTTGTACGGATGTTATTTTTCTACAAATCCTGTTGACTAGAGAGCCAATAAAGTTCTACCAAACATTCACATGGCATTTCATAGCCACTTGTTGGTTGTTTTTTATTTTTCACTATATTTATCTTCATTTTTTAAACAAAAGGTGACAGTCACTAGCTTACCAAGAGAGATTTAAAATGGAAATTATCCAAAATAAAATGTTTAGCCTGCAACTTATGTTTTTCAAATTAAAACCTATTAATCCATAGTTTTATGGGAGGGAGCTGAGTAGTATACTTCAGTATTTTTATTTATTTAAAGTTAACAGGAACAGCATCTGTAATATAATTGAAAACCTCCATGTATTTTGACAAAGTTGGCTCTATTATTCTTATAAGTAAGCATATTTTGGCAATAAAATAACAGGAGTTAAACCAGATGAAAGTTAGTATTTCATTTTGCTCAAATAAAACAATAGAGTTGAAAAAATGTATGCACTTAGAACACTGAGTATTTACTCAAGAGTAAAGTCCTGATTGATCCCTTACTACCCAACTGGACAGCAGTGGCCATTTCATGGGAGGAGTCTGATCTCAGTCTTGATCTGATTTGCACGCTGAGCTGTTCTAGAAATAGTCAAGAATATTTGGTATTAAAACGATGCCCCCATTGGCTTAAAAATGGCAGCATATTTCAATTTTTAAAAATGATATACAATTTCCAGTTTGCATGTCTGTGAGGCATGGTTATGAAGTGCGGTTTGGAAATTTTTGAATACATGCCAGCTCAACCCTATTGGTTACATAGCTTTTGCCTGAAGGTTTTTGTATACATCTTCAAAGAACACCTGTTTTCCTTGAACCTCTATTGTTTCCTTAAAAATAGTCAGTAAACCGTGTTTTCGAGTGTTTCTTTAGGAATGTGTTTGGTTCAGGTTCCAACTGCGTGATACTGAGGCAGGAAGTACTTACTCCTCACACTAGGGTTTCTGGATGAATGAGATGAAAATACAGCCCACTCTGGGTTCTCCATCAATTCCATTACTTTTCTACTTTGGAAGGTCAGAGAGTACACATCTTCCCAGTGGCATGAGGGTAGAGCTATTAACATGGTTAAGCATATTGTTCAGGGGGGAAAGCCATGTCTGAAAACAATTGTTACCTGGCTTTAATAATCCTCTTCCACTGAAATATATCATCCCAGAGAATAAAAATACTGTCTTCTAAATGGAATGATACAACCATTCCCCAATTCATAGCCTGTCTGATTTTATGTATAAGGGTTCCTTGCATCTCCCCCCCTACACACACCCCAACCTCAATTGTAAACAGAATTCTCTTTCAGCAGCATTCCGCTCATCCCGGTCCGCTTAAGAACACTAAGAAAAGAAGGGACAAGATGACAGTGGAATAAGCATGAGACAGCCGACGCGTCCAGCAGAGCGTCATGGGGAGTTTCTCCTGCGGTACTGGCCTCAAGAGGTGTCTTCGCTGGCCCGGGGAGCAAGTGCCCACTCCGATGTGCGTGGTGTCCCTAGCAGAGCAAAGGAGGACTGTCAAGCCAGCTCAGGGTTGCAACCTGCCTGTCCAGACCCCACGGTACAGGCTCCTCCCAGGAAGCTCTGCCCAAATCCAACCCAACATCTACCTGCAGGAGCACTATTTAATTGAAAGAGTTGTTATCCGAGAGCTTGCCAAGTACCAGAGACGGTGCTGAAG